TAATTGTCTCACATATCACCAAGCGCAGAAGTTGTGATAGCCTTAGTCTTGGCATCTCCATGAATCTCCCGGCTCTGCCTTTCTCTAAGTATTGGATTCATCAAGTTCATAGGATAGTTAGTTCCTGCATTCATATCCAGGTAAGAAAATATCCAGAAGCAAAAGTAATCTTCTAGTACTCCCTTTTAGGAATAAGAAAGCCTCTCCCAGGAACCTCCCAGCAAACGTGCCCTTGTCTCTATTACAGTTGGGTTAGATGCCTGTTCATTGACTAGTCACTCACCAGAAGAGTGGGATTATTCTGGTTGGCTTAGACAGTTCAGGATCCACCCATGGACCTGGGTGGGGCCACCTACTTAAGTATTATGGAGGAGGAGTATGTACCAAAACTCAAACCCAAATTCTGTTGGACAGGAAGAAGGAACAAATGGACATGAGTGGACAACAAATAATGACCTCATATACTTCAATAAATATTGTGGATTGAATAAGTGAATAAACAAAAAAATGCATTCCCTTTATTTTACTCCTTTTGCCTTAATTTTTTCCTAATAGAGGGTAGCTAAAATATTCACTAATGTAAGAATAATGCTGGTCAGGAATTCAGATCATTCTTAACAATGTGTGTGTTATAACTCTAAATATATTCATATCTCAGGGTTAATGTTTTTCACAAATTTCTATATCATTCCTACAGTGGCACAGTTTCCTCTTAGTGGTCAATCTAGTATAATCTAGATTTTAAAGAAAACGCATAATTAACACTTATATGTGAACTTTGATGAAATATTATAATAGTTAATATGCCTATAGAGTTTGGGATCTGAATAAGACTTTAATTTTTGATGGGGTATGAATACTTAGGTAGCTTAGCACACAGTCAATTATTGATCAATAAGAAAACTCATATTAGCTCATTTACTTATCCCATGACCACTCAAAAGCTGTTTTGGGTAAGAAATCCTTTCAGTACTACATGGACTAAACTAGTCTCTTTTATAAAGAACAAATTAAGTGATAGTGATTTTAGAAATGTGAAAGGAAAATAAATCTCAGGATCCCAATAGCACTAAGCCAAAGGGAAAAATCAAACTAGGAATTACTTAGGTCAAACCTCCCTCCCATTCTATTCCTAAAAAAGATAGCTACTAAGATTTAAAAAAAAGCTACACAGCTCTCTCACAATTTATCCACAAGGAAATTCTTTGGGGACAAAGGACACAGAACTCAAAGTCCTTCCTCTGCTCACTGAGATAGATGCATATCTGATTGCTTCCCTTGGAAAGGCTTATCAGGAACTCAAAAGAACGCAGCCATTTGTCTTTTATCTACCCATGACCTGGAAGCCCTCTTCAGGCCACAGGTGGAAAATCGATTGATGCCTACTCTCCCTAAAATGCATAAAACCAAGCTGTGCCTGGACCACCTTGGGCCCATGTTGTCAGGACTACCTGAGGCTTTGTCATGGGCACGTGTCCTTAACCTTGGCAAAATAAACTTTCTAAATTGATTGAGACCTCTCTCAGATATTTAGGGTTCACAGAAATAATATAGTTTGTTGCATATAAATAATCCAGCACAAGAAAAAAATTCAGCCTTTTGTTGTATTCTTTCCTGCCCCACCCCTTCAAAACAAAAGAAAGTAAACCAGTTGATGGCGCATGCAATCCCTTTCTAAGCCAGATGCATCTGCAAGTCCATTTTGTGAATATTCAATGAGTAGTTGGAAGTCAGATGATATCCATTCCCAGAAATATTCCAAAAAAATTATAAAATTCCTAATTATACCTCTCCCTTCTAGACATTTGTACATGTTCTTTCCCTCCAAACTAGACACCATTGAACACCACAGGAACACACACTAAAAACAAAGATTAGTCACTTTTGCCATGCCTGATGATTTTCATCTTTTTCTGACGGAAGTCGCACACTGTGACTGAGGATAAGTTTTGGCTCTGTGTGTGTGTGTTACAATATGAGATGAGACTCAGGTGGAGACACAGAGCCAAACCATATCATTTTGCCTCTGTCCCCTCCCAAATCTCATGCCCTCCCAAATCTCATGTCTTTCTCACATTTCAAAACATAATCATGCCTTCCCAACAGTCCACCAAAGTCTTAACTCATTTCAGCATTCACCCAAAAGTCCAAGTCCAAAGTCTCATCTGAGACAAGGCTAATCCCTTCCACCTATGAACCTGTAAAATGAAAAGCAATTTAGCTATTTCCAAGATACAGTGGAGGTACAGGCATTGGTAAATGTTCTCATTCCAAAGGAGAGAATTTGGCGAAAACAAAGGGGCCACAGGCCTCATGCAATTCTGAAACCAGGTGGGGCAGTCAGTCATTAAATCTTAAAACTCCAACATCTCCTTTGACTCCGTGTCTCACATCCAGGGCATGCTGATGCAAAGGGTGGGCTCCTATGGCCTTGGGCAGCTCTGCCCCTGTGGTCTTTCAGGGTATAATCCCAGAGATGCTTTCATGACCTGGCATTGAGTGCCTGTGGCTTTTCCAGGCACATGGTGCAAGCTGTTGGTGAAGCTACCATTCTAGGGTCTGGAGGAAGATGGCTCTCTTCTCACAACTCCACTAGGCAGTGCCCCAGTGGGGACTTTGTGTGGGGGCTCCAACCTCACATTTCCCGTCTGCATTGCCCTAGTGGAGGTTCTCCACGAGATCTCCACCCCTGCAGCAGACTTCTGCCTAGACATTCAGGCATTTCCATTTATCCTCTGAAATCTAGGTGGTTTCCAAAGCTTAACTCTTGTCTTCTGTGCACCTGCAGGCCCAACACCATGTGGAAATTGCCAAGGCTTGGGGCTTGCACCCTCTGAAGCAACAGCTCAATCTATACCTTGGCCCCTTTTAGCAGTTGGAGCTGGAGTGGCTGGGAAGCAGGGCATCAAGTCCTGGGGCTGCACAGAGCAGCAGGGCCCCGGGCCTGTGATGCCCTGAAGATCTCTGACATGCCCCAGAGACATTTTCCCCATTGTCTTGGCTATTAACATTTGACTCCTTGTTACTTATACAAATTTCTGTGACTGGCTTGAATTTCTCCCCAGAAAATGGGTTTTTCTTTCTTACCTAATGGTCAGGCTGCAAATTTTCTAAGCTTTTATGTTCTGCTTCCCTTTTAAATAAAAGTTTCAGTTTCAGATCATCTCTTTGTGAATGCATATAACTGAATGCTTTCAGAATCAGCCAGGTTAAATCTTGAACATGTTGCTGCTTAGAAATGTCTTCCACCAGATACTCTAAATCATTTCTCTCAAGTTCAAAGTTCCACAGGTCTCTAGGGCAGGGGCAAAATGCCACCAGTCTCTTTGCTAAAGCATAGCATGAGTGACCTTTACTCCAGTTTCCAATAAGTTCCTCATCTCCATCTGAGATCACCTCAGCCAGGACCTCACTGTCCATATCACTATCAGTATTGTGGTGAAAACCATTCAACAAGTCTTTAGGAAATTCCAAACTTTCCCATGTCTTCCTGTCTTCTTCTGAGCCCTTCCAAACTGCTCCACCAACTTCTGCCTACTACTCAGTTCCAAAGTTGCTTCCACATATTCAAGTTATCTTTATAGCAGTACCTGGCTCTTGGTCACCAGTCTCTGTGTTTGTCCATTTTCACACATATAAAGAACTACCCGAGACTGGGTAATTTATATAGCCAGTGCCAATTCTCTGTGTTTGTCCATTTTCACACTGCTATAAAGAACTACCCGAGACTGGGTAATTTATATAGAAGACATGTTTAATTGACTCACCATTCCACATGGCTGGGAAGGCCTCAGGAAACTTACAATCATGACAGAAGGTGAAGGGGAAGCAAAGCACATCTTACATGGTGGCAGGTGAGAAAGGGAGCAATGGAGGAAGGGCCACTTTAAAAACCATCAGATACTGTGAGAACTGACTCTCTATCATGAGAACAGCATGGAGGGAACCATCCCCATGATCCATCACCTCCCATCATATCCCTCCTTCAACATGTGGAGATTACATTTGAGATGAGATTTGGGTGGAGACACAGAGCCAAACCACATCTGGTAGCAACTGAGAGGTACCAACCCTCTTGGCTTCTGATTGCAGGACAAACATATGTGAGTCTGAGGACTAGGTATGCTGACCTAGGGCATTGTATAAGGGATTCTGCACATGAGGGTGATTTGCCAAGGCCAAAAGACTCTCAGTTGTAAGTAGCCCTGGGATAAAGGTGAGGTGAGCCAGGAGTGGCCAGTGAAGAGGAGTCAGTGTTGGACAGGCCTAGCAGAGGAACTTCTGAATAAGCCATAAAGGGAACGATCAATTTTGAACATCTGTTAGTACTACAGGGTACAAAGCAAAGAACTTTGCTTCTCCCTTGCCTTTTTCCTACCAGTACACCACCCCATTCCATACCAAACCTGGAGAAGGCTGAAGTGGAGATAAGAAGGAAGGAAAACAGCCAACCATGGCTTTCTAGTTAATAAAGAAGGCAAGTGGCCATCTGCAGTCAGCCATAGCTGGATATAGATGGGGGCATATCTCATTTGTTATTGAAGATTGACAGTTGGCTATTATATTCTCATTTATGAACTGGGACTATGACTATGACTCAATGGGCTGTAAGGTTTTGTATTACCTAAGAGAGATGAAAAAGGTTATGGGGCTGCCTGGGTTTTCTTTCAGGAGCCTAAGTAGGAATAGCTTCCACTAAGTGGATTTGATAGGACATGGGAGACAAAAGTAAAATTGCAATTTGATAGCACCTCACAGATTGTCCTTATTCAAGGTATCTCCTGTGTGTATATGTGTATGTATACCAGATATATATATACACACACATATATATACACACCAGACATATATGTACCAGATATACGTGTTTTATATTGGTTTCTTAGCTGAATTTAAATTTTAAGCAAAAAATAAATACTTTTAAAGATTAGCTCTATTAGGAACATAAAATTAAGATAGTAGTTTAATTTTAGTAATTGAAAGATAAAATATAACACTACCTTGTTATGATGAAGCCATAAGTATTTTAATTTTTTAAACCTAGAAAGATCAATGACCTCTGTCAGTTCCCTGGAAAGAAAAAAAAAATGTGAACATTAGCAACAATCAGTTCACACATAGGTAAGACTGGGCATGTAGTTAGTATGGTTTCGTAGTAACTAGAAGGTTCTCTCTCTCTTTGTCGTTTCAAAATTGTTGTCACACTCACCTGCTTATTTCAGAAATTCCATCATTATAACTTCATTCATTTGGATTAAGATTTTGTCAGCTAGTTAAAGCTAATACTTGAAGGGGAGCACTTTACCACATTAGCAAAAATTTACACCTCATTATGACTGAATTTATTGGAACCTTAATTCAAAACAAGTTTTACTGGGGAGAGGACAAAGGAAAAAAGTGAAGCTAATACTGGACTTTCAAGTAAATGTGGGAAACGTAGCTGGGTCCTGTTTCAATATCGTCTGTGGGTTATTACTGTGGGGCAATAACCTTGAAGTATTTGGCCAGACTGGACTCAGATGGAAACTGCAGGACACCAAGAGACAGACACTGTGTGAAGTGCTTTATTCTCCCTTTATTTATTGATTATAGGATTAAAATATTACCCACTTCTCTTGAATGGTATGAGATTCCACCTATCCAAGTGGTCTTGGTTCTTATTCCTAAGGCAGTTCACTTATGAAAGGGGCAGATGTGGGTTTGGGAGAGTGCACTGTCTGAGATAGTTGGTCATTTGATTGATGTGGCCTGGAGTAGTTGGATCTCTTATTTCTCAGGGCAGAAATTGTGGAACCCAAGTATGTATACATATACATATCTGTTTATTTATCAAATGCTTATAGATCACATATCATTATCTGTTTATTTATCAAATGCTTATAGATCACGTATTGTGTGCCAGGTACTTTTCAAAGCATAAAAATATCAATATTTACTATTATTACAGATATTAATTCGTTTACAGTAAAATTTTATCGCAATTATTTTTAACCTTGGGACGCTGAAGGAATAATATTTTTCTAAGTTTTATAAAAACATACATTTTTTGAAAGCATGCAAATATTTCTAAACAAAATAAACCTTTTTTCACTAACTTTTTGTATTGAAAAATGTCAAACCTGAGAAAAGATGAACGAATAGTACAATGACCACTTGTATACCCATCATAATTTTTGACATATTGTCACATGCTTATCCTATCTATATATATCTAATTTATATATTTATTGGTTGATAATTTTCTTGGTGAATCATTTGAAAATAAAGTTGCAGGCTTATTGCAGGTGTCTCAGCTTAAGGAGTTCATCTCGTGTATCTCCTATATCAGGGCATTGTCCTGTGTAACCATGATACCATCCTCACACCTAAGAAGATGAAATGGAATTCAGTAATTTAATCTAATATGCCATTCATGTTCAAAGTTTCCCTGTTGTTCCTACATTTCCTTTGATTTTTTTAAATCCTGTATCCCATTAACATTCATGCATTGCATTTGGGGTGATGTAATCTTTGAGTCTTTTTAAAGGTAATCATCTTCTTTCCTTTTTCTCCCTTAACATTAGCTTTTTGGGCTGGGCATGGTGGCTCACACCTGTAATCCCAGCACTTTGGGAGGCTGAGGTGGATGGATCACCTAAGGTCAGGAGTTTGAGACCAGTCTGGCCAACATGGTGCAACCCCGTCTCTACTAAAAATACAAAAATTAGCCGGGTGTGGTAGCACATGCTTGTAATCCCAGTTACTTGGGAGACTGAGGCAGGAGAACCACTTGAACCCAGGAGACGGAGGTTGCAGTGAGCTGAGATCGTGCCATGGCACTCCAGCCTGGGTGACAAGAGCAAAACTCTATCTCAAACAAACAAACAAACAAACAAACCAAAAAACATTAGCTTTTTGGAGAGTCCAGGATAACCGTCTGGTAGAATGTCTTACATTATTGATTATTTGGATTGTTTCCTAATGATCAAATGCAAGGAAAATCATGTCTACTTCTCAATTACATGGGTAGTAATTACTGAATCACATAAGGATCCAAATGTTGTCAGTCTGCCCCACTCTTGATGAAGCTAAATTCAGTCATTTGGTTAAGAGGTTCTCGCCACTATAAAAGTACAAATTTTATAATTGGAAAGTCATACATGAGGCGAATATCTGAGATCATGTGTATATCTTGCTCCCTGACAACTCTTTACTCAATCACTTTAGCTTCAATTGATGATCCTTATCTGAGCCAATAGATTTAGGATTATAAAATGATTTTCCTAATGTTCTTATTCTTTTTATATTATTAGCTGCTATTCTTATGTAATGAACATCTGTTCCCTCTTCTTCTATCTCACTCATTCTCCTCTCCATCTTCCCTGAATTTTCAAGAGTTTTTTTTCTTAATCCTTTATCACTTAAAACAATGATCAAATTATCCCTTATAAAAGACATTTCAAGCAGAATCGTGTGTCTCTTTGATATGTACCATTAGTTTTTGAGCACTTCCCTGGCACAACAAAATATTTCAGACTCTTCCAAAACAACTTTTTTTTTTTTCTTTTTTAGAAAGGGTTTGGCTCTGTTGCCCAGGCTGGAGTACAGTGGCTCCATCTCGGCTCACCGCAACCTCCACCTCCTAGGTTCATAAGATCCTCCTACCTCAGCCTCCTGAGTAGCTGGGACCACAGGTGTACACCACCATACCTAGCTAAGTTTTTGTAGAGACAGGATTTCACATGTTGGCCAGGCTGGTCTCAAACTCCTGGGCTCATGTGATCCACCTGTCTCAGCCTCTCAAAGTGTTGGGATTACAGGTGTAAGCCACCGCGTCTGGCCTCAAAGCAACTTTTAGTAGGAAATTTGTACAAATAATAATACATTCTCCTCTCTCACTGTAGATATGTAGCTTATTTCAGGGAAAGAGTACTTGGACCTTGGGGTACCATAACTATTGCATTGGGTGATAGTAAGAGTATGTTAACTTCATCTGTTCCTACGATAAATAATAAGGAAATCATTACATGGCTACATTAGAGTATCTCATGCCCCACTCAGAGGATTTCCCATAAAAGTTATTTTATTTTATTTTATTTTATTTTATTTTATATTTTATTTTTTGAGACTGAGTCTCGCTCTGTCTCCCAGGCTGGAGCGCAGTGGTGTGAAAGTTGTTTTAATACACTAAAACTTTAAAGTATTAACTGTGTCAAGTTACTGTCATTAATTTTTTTGTAGCAGTAATATCAATGTTGAATTTTCATTGATTAGGTAATATAATAAATCCATTTTTCATTTTTCTTTTTTAAAATTTAATTTAAGAAAAAATTTTACAAGCCCACATCTAATATCATATAAATTCACTTTTCAAGGGTACTCTAACTATTTCATGTCAGAAGGGTTTATTCTGCACATAAACCTGTCCGAAATCAATAACAAGCTGTTATGTTATAAGGTGAGGCCAGTCAAAGGATAAGTGAGAGGTAATTCTACTAATGATGGCTATGACTCATGCTGACAATACTTGTCAACATCCTGTTACAATGTATGTTCTCCATGATCACTCAAGAACACGTCAATAAGATGCTTTCCATTTCCCAGAGTCAACAGAAACTTAGGCAAATAAATAACTCAGTATACCAGTGTATTGGCATCTGAACTGGGAAATAGTTTTTGTCCACAGCTGGATGAAATGGTAACTTAGTATCCTCAAAATGTAAAAGGTATTATCCTTCTCATAAGGAGACCATTAATTACCTACTGTCAGGTGACCAATATCTCAAATTTTCTAGTATTTTAAAGCTACTCTTATTATCTACTTACTGTAGTGATCAATAGTATACAATTGTCAAAATCATGAAAGATGCAATCTTTTGACCACATGAAGTATTTATTGTTATTTTAAAACTAACTGACCTGGCCGGGCACGGTGGCTCATGTCTGTAATCCCAGCACTTTGGGAGGCCGAGGCGGGTGGATCACGAGGTCAGGAGTTCGAGACCATCCTGGCTAACATGGTGAAACCCTGTCTCTACTAAAATTACAAAAAAAATTAGCCGGGCGTGGTGGCATGCGCCTGTAGTCCCAGCTACTTGGGAAGCTGAGGCAGGAGAATGGCATGAACCCGGGAGGCGGAGCGGAGCTTGCAGTGAGCCGAGATTGTGCCACTGCACTCCAGCCTGAGCGACAGAGCGAGACTCCGTCTCAAAAAAAAAAAAAAAAAAAAAAACTAACTGACCTATATCGAGTGGCTCAAAGCATGACCTTAAATGTGTCAGAATACTCTACCATACGTGTTGCATACTAAATATATTTTTAAATATTTCAAACTTGTCATCAATGTATTCCTTTACTACCAAGAGATTCAGAGCCCTTACAAAGATAAACACTTTTCTCTGTACTGATAAACATAAATATTTATTTATAATAAAATGTGTATAATAATAAAGGATTTCCCCAAATTGCTAGAAATAAAAGTGATTAAATTTGTTGATAAACTAAAGCATTTTCTTTACTGGAAGCCTATTTAAAAATAATACACAGAATTCAGAGGCATTAAAAAGCACAAAGTAAGGGGGACACAATGTAGGAATAGGGTCACTGTGCTTAAAATGCAAACTTCAGTGTCACTTATTGGCCAGTGAGAACTGCGGTATCAGAGTCTAATTTTATTTATAACTCCCTCTTCCTCTCATACTTATGTTCTATCTCATTCTACTCTATAGAAAAACCCAATTTGTTGTTTGCCCCCTTGAGGAGTTCGAGTGGAATCAAAGTGGGCTGTTGATATGTGAGAGGGATTTTTCTACTTACCGGTAAAATTTGTATGGGGATAGGTAGAGGTTGTAGTACAATGGGGGTCATTATCATAGTATGTGGTATAATGATTCCCAATAATAGTAATAATATTAACCATACTAATGCTCATTGAGTGCTTACTGTGTGCCAGTAACTTTGACTAACTTTTAGTAACTCACCTAAGCTTCACAACAACCCTGAGAATGAGGTAGTATAATTATACCCAGGGAATAGCATTGCCAGATAAAATACAGGATATCGGGCTACATTTGAATTTCAGGGAAACAATGAATTTTCCAACTACTGTGTGGGACATACTTACACTAACTAAAATTATATTCATTGTTTCTATGAAATTCAAATTCAACTGGATGTCCTATATACTTATTTGTTAAATCTGACAATCCTAATAGGGAGGTTGTACGACATACCCAAGATCACCCAGCTGGAAGAGACAGAGCTGGGATTCAAACAGCCTGTCTCCATAATCTTTTTTTTTTTTTTTTAATCAGTTTCAGTATTTTGTCTCTCCAATAGAAAACTGTGGACTCCAGGAAGTGGTAAAATAATTGGAGTGTGGTTGCCTACCCAGTCCTTGAGGGGCAAAAATGGAAAAGAACATTTGAATCTGTGAAACATTTTAACATGATCATGATAACATGATACTCTTTCATTTTTTTATGTTAAGTACACTTACTTTTTAGAAAGGAACAGCTCGAAGACATCAGCATCCCTCTTGTGGCCACGTATCTTTAGTTGATCTTCAACTGCCTGATAACATATAATTAATCTGTCAAACTACATTCCAGTGAACAAAAATGCTGAGGCATTTGCAGTCAATAACAATAATGTCTACAAGAAGATCAAAAGAAAGGTGAATATGGAGATAACCATTCTAAACTGATAAATTCCAACACTACAATTATATATTATTTACTCATTTTTGTGGTTGAATTTCATTATCCTTAATCCTCGGCACAGATGTTTAAATAATTTTTAATCAGGGAGAAAAAATATGCATGTGTACATATACACCAAAAGCAAGTTTTTATTCTCTATGAGGCAAGGTAACTTGGTCTTTAAAGAACTATTCTTAAATGTTTCTTTGAACATGAAGAATTAGTATTTGATAGGTTTCCTACAGAATTCGCCCAGTATAGGGTTGGAGGTGGAAAGAGTAGGATAAAATGTATGTTATTATAGGACTTTTTTTGTGCCTATCACATTATGCTTGGCACCCAGTAAGTTCTCAAAAAATGTGAAATGAATGAATATATGTCATTTTTCTCTGAACAAATGAATACATTTTCCCTTGCTTGGCAAGCAACAGTGACTTCATTTTTCATGAGTTGCTAACATACTCATACTGTGAGAATTTTTGGTGGAGAAGCAACTTTTATTCCCATAGCTCTGTTTTAAAAATAAAACTTTAGCAACAGCTGTTTAAATGCTTTGCTTTTTTCTTTTAAAGTCCTTTGCTAAATTATAAAATAACATTAATAGGCCACATGACCTAAAATAAGATGAAAAAAGTAAAGTCTGTCTGTAATTTGCCATGAAAAAGTAGAGCTAACAAGACATGACAAAAGTGAAAAGTATAATCATTGCAGTCCTGGAATCTGACAAACATTGTAATTATCAGAGTCAAAACAATCACTGAATTTTAGCTGGGATTTGTTATGAATGGTGAGGTTATAACTGACTTATAAATCTTTCTGGGTGATATATGAAATTTTGACAGTAGTTTTGCTATTTGGTAGAGGACTTCAATAGGAGTTATATTTAGTGCAATGAACGTATTTAAAGAAATGAGGAAGGTAGGTATCCTAGTGATGGACAGCAGCTGCAAATGTATAGTCCCGAACTTCCCTTGACACCTTGTTAAGCAAGCTGAATCTAGGGACTTGGAGCATTCATAGGCTCAGGGTTAGGCATTGCCATCAGGGTGCTTTGTTATCCAGTTACACAAGCCGAGCCTGGGGCTTGGAAAAACCCATTGGATCAGGCTTAGACATTCTCATCTGTTTTTGTTTGTTTGTTTGTTTGTTTTGTTTTTTGAGAGAATCTTGCTCTGTTGTCCAGGCTGGAGTGCAGTGGCATGATTTCGGTTCACTGCAACCTCTGCCTCCCAGGTTCAAGCAGTTCTCCTGCCTCAGCCTCCCAAGTAGCTGGGACTACAGGTGCATGCCGCCACGCCCAGCTAATTTTTTTGTAGAGATGGGGTTTCACCATGTTGGCCAGGTTGGTCTCGAACTCCTGAGTTCAGGCAATCTGCCTGCTCCAGTCTCCCAAAGTGCTCGGACTACAGGCGTGAGCCACCACACCCGGCCCTCATCTGGGTATTTTAACTTAAAAATGTCAACTATCAGCCTCTACTATGTACAGTCAGTCACATCTTTGCATAGTGTTTGGGGTGGTATAGCCCAAAGAAGAATTAAAACTTGGCAGCCATCTATTAAAATTATAAATGTGCTTTTAAATTGATGCGGCCATTCTACCTCCAGGACTCAGAAACACACAGGTGCATACACCCAGACAAATGTGATTATCACTGCTTATTTCAGCATACATTTTCTGTGGTTGTGAAATAGTCCCCATTAACTGGAATGCAGGTTAAATTGATATGTGACATCACAATGGAATACTGTGAAGTAGTTTCCAAATATAGAGAGGTGGTCTGATGGCTAATTTTATATATAAATTTGACTGTACTATGAGATGCCCGCATAGCTGGTAAAACATTATTTATGGGTGTGTTTCTGAGAATGTTTTTGGAAGAGATTAGCATTACTATTAGTGGACTGAGTAAAGAAGATCACCCTCGCCCATGGGGGTGGATATCATCCAATCCAGTGAGGGCCCCAATAGAACAGAAAAGCAGAGGAATGTGAATTCATGCTTTCTTCTGGAGTTAGGACATCCATCTTCTGCCTTCAGACATCAGCATTCCTAGTTCTCAGGTCTCTGGGCTTGGACTAAACTACATTACTGGCTCTCTCCTGGGCTCCAGATTGCAGACAGCAGATTGTGGGACTTCTCAGTCTCCATAATCAAGTGAGCCAATTCCTCATAATAAGTCTCTTTCTATATATCTCTATATATCCTGTTGTTTTGTTTCTCTGGAGAACTCTAACTGATACAAATAGATATCCAGACATCTAAAGATATCTAAAATATATTTATAAATAAAAAGTAATTGGCAGTATAATATGTGTAACAATATTTTTGTTAAAAGTCATATTTATATGAATACAAAATGCACACACTTCAAATTACTAGCAAAAGTCATCACTTGAGATCATGAGGGACTTTCACTTTCTAGGCAATATTTATTTTTAGTGATGTGTTAGTATTTTACAATAAGCACATATTAATTTGATAATCAGAAAGTAATGCACATTTTGAAAATTGTAGCCATAGAATGAATATTTAAAAATTTAAATCAAATTTCAAAAAATATGAGGTGAAAGGGAAATTGAATGTATCAGCATAATATGTAAATCATTATCATAGTTATTTATTTACACAAGTTTTTGTCACAGCATGTTTCTTTCCAATCAATAATTTTACATGAATCTGGTACAAAATATTAATATCAAAGTACCAAGAAACATGAAAATGTGCCAATTCACATTTCAGTGAATCCGTGGTGGAACAATTCCAGTTCCCAGTTAACACACAGCTTCACTACTCCCATATGCCCTCATCTAAAGGAATTCAATTAAGTTTGCCATCTTACAGGGGCACAGTTCGTGGTCCCTTAAGCAAATATGATAGTAACATTCAAAAAAATAAAAATAAAAAACCAGTATCTGCAAAGCACAATATAGTGAAGCACAGTAGAAATGAAGTATGCCTGTACTGTTAGCCCGGGCACGTTGGAAGATTTCAGGGCACAACTAACAGTCAGGCTGGGCCTTGAGAGGTGAGGTGAAATTAGAAATGGGATGTTGGTGGAAGAGGAGAGTAGGCACACAAAACAGAAGAAGCAGAAGAATGTATAAGGTATGTGGGGCTGTACAGCCTTTGGCTGAAGTAAAAGGCATGTGGAAGGCAATTGTGAGAAATAAGAAAGGTGGGTTGGGGTCATATTATTTATGCCAACTTTGAAATTTAGGCTCAGAACTGTGTACTTAATCAGTGCTCAGAGAAAACTTCTTGAGGCCTTGAGAACTCTAACTGAACATCATTTAATTTTATATGATATATAAACACATGTATATGTACATATATATGAAATATATATTCTAAGTAGCTGTATGGTAAAATTCATGTAAGAAAGTCTAATTAAGGATAACAATGTCAATGCTTTTACACAATATCCAATATCAAATTATGTCACAAACACTTTTCCTCCTTCTCCGTTGGTGCCCTTGCTTTGTTGGTACCCTGAAGGCACAGAACTGACTATTGGGTGATTCAGCATTGTGCTCTCTTCTGGGGCAATAGGAAGATATAACTGGATTTTTGAACTAGAAAAAACGTGACAAAGCTAGGCTTCGGGAAGATGACTCTAGCAGTGATGTGCATGGGGGCCTGGGGTGCAGTGAGAACTGCAGACAGGAAGCAAGGCTACCTCTGGGAAACAAAGTCCGCCAGCTAAGGAACCTGCCCTAGGGTGGGGGCAAGTGTGAATGGGCAGCGAACAGATATGACATGGGGCGTGTTTAGGGAGAATGAATGGGAACTGGCAAGTAAAAGGAGGCAGAGAATTAGCACGAGAGAAGTCACAGGTGATGATGATGATGATGTGATGACTTGATGAGAAAGGTGACTGGGAGGGAAGACAGATGCAGCTGAGAAATGCTGAAATTGAGGCCATGGTGGAACATACTGGTCAAGGCATCCACCGGAAAGCTGCAAGGGTAAATGTGGAACTCATCAGAGATCTCATCGGGGCAGCTGTGCTGATCTGATGAGTCAGTTAACCAGAGGAGAGTGGGATCCAAGGAAGATCACGATGAAGTGTCTTTCCTTTCGTGGAAAGAAAGGAGAAGGAAACATGTTGGAAAGGAGACAGAGGAGGATCGTGGTCAAGTGAGGGAGAAAACCAAAAGGACAGTGGGAGGCAGAGGGGCATTTGAAGAAGGTAGAATTTCAATTTGCAGCATTGTTTCGGCTGGTGGAGGATGTCACTCAGAAAAGGTACTGAATTTAGAGGCCTGAATTTCAGTAGCTTGAAGACGGCGAAAAGTTGGATTTCAAATTAATTGGTTAGCCTAAAAGGAAAATAAAAAGAGGCCATCACAAAATTGGGATGTGAACAGTTCTAGCACGGGGAGAACAGCAGCCGCTTCCTCCACCGCCCAATGTCTGAAGATCTAGAATCAAAGGGAAAAAATGTTTGAAAATAGTAGGATTATTAAATCCTAGAAGAATAAGGTCAGTATTAAAACCTATAGAATAAAATGTCCTCTCTGATGACAAATTCTTGTACCTCCATGCAACACGCAGGCACAAGTTAGGACTTAGTGTGAAGAGCTTTCAATTCAACACAGAACTCTCAGCCTCCTTTAATCACAGCAGCTCCCCCGTCTTTGCAGATGAGTCAGAGAACTCCAGAAAGCCTTGCTAGGTCTCACCTGGCACGATTCTGAGATTCTTTTTCCCCACCCAAATATCCAAATATTCTTTTAATCATTATTTTAACTGCTCTGGACTCTGCTTGTAGGGCTCATCAAATAACGTTTCCTCTTCAAGGTGTCGATTTGCACTTGCTGGGAACAATATATTAGGGATACACACCTACACCCACACCCACACGCCCCTGTTGGAGAATCAAGACTGCAAAATTTACTTAATCTCCGTTTCACTTAATCTACAAACCACCATAATTATATACACAGCAGATGCTGAGTGGTAAAAGGTCAGTGTAAGTCTATTAGTGTGGATCAGAAAGTTCTCAAACCCCACCCAGGAGATTAGGGACCTCTAGCCCAGGCAGAGTTGCTGAGGGGGCTTCGCCACCGCTCAACGCTGTTTACATTCCAATTTTGTGCTGGACTCCTTGTTCTCCTTTTATGTTGACCAATTAATTTGAAATCTGCCCTATCTCCATCTTCAGGATACGGAAATTTCCTTCCAAAGTCAGTACCTGCCTGGAGTCCTCAGGCAGGGGGCAGAGGGGCTGATGGCTTGAGAAGGCAGGTGCCGCTTACCCGGCGACTGCTCTGTAGGGCAGTTTCGGACGCCCTCCGTAGGCTCCAGCATTTCAAGGCACGGGGAACGGGGTTCGGGTTCCAGGACATCAGGACACATGGGCCGCCGGCAGCAGCGGTGATTAATCCGGCCTCGCCCGCGGGTGGCACCGAAGAGAGACTTGGCTTGGCGCGCAGCTCATTGTTCTGTTACCAACAGTTACCGCATTCCCGTTGACTAAAAGCCAGTCCACACTGGGAAATATTTGAAGCCAAACGCTGACTTCTGTGACGTTTGCGCGTGTGACTCTGTAACACCCACGCTTGCGCCTCGGACACACGTGTGTTATCCCTGCTCGTGGTGATGCGTGCGGTGGATGCCGGAGAGAGGGGTTCAGCTATGTCCGGGACCAGGAGGAGGTCAGAGCGCCTCAACAGCAGTCACCCAGTAATCATCACTTTGATTCGAGATTTGAATATCAGGAAATTTAGGTTTCTGAAAATTAGACGTGTGTGTGGACCACTGGCCTCACGTACAGGGTGGGGGTGACGAGGTGCCCTGCAGAGTCACTGTGGATCTTGACGCAAAAGGAAAATGGCCAGTACTTCTGATCGTGTCTCTATTTAAAAGTTTGACATTTTGTTCATTATGCATGTTATTTGCATACATTTTGATTTTTCTTTTTTTAAATATTGCATTAAGATATTTATTTTGAGGCCGGGCACAGTGGCTCACGCCTGTAATCCCAGTGTTTTGGGAGGCTGAATCAGGTGGATTGCCTGAGGTCAGGAGTTCCAGACCAGCCTGGCCAATATGGAGAAACCCTGTCTCTATTTTTAAAAAATACAAAAGTTAACCGGGCATGGTGGCATGCACCTGTAATCCCAGCTACTTGGGAGGCTGAAGCAGGAGAATAGTTTGAACCTGGGAGGCAGAGGTTGCAGTGAGACAAGATCAGACCATTGCACTCCAGCCTGGGTGACAGAGGGACACTCTGTCTCAAAAAAAAAAAAAAAAAAAAATTTACTTTGAATGCTGAATTTTTGGTTTTTTGGTGCTTCTTACATCCAGATCCAAGGCCACTGCCTTAATTGCCTCACCATAGACCCAGACCTGGGATGAAGATGGGGGTGGTAGTATTAAGGCTCCGGAAGAGTCCAGGTGCACAGAAAAATGGAAGGAACTCTCTACTGACTTTATTGGCTAAGAACAAGTGCATATTGTTTCAGTAGCTGAGAAATCTTTTCTCTGACAGGAAATGGATAAATTGAGCCACTATTTGGCCAATCTTTTCAACCTGGTTTTTTGTTTTTGTTTTTTGAAATTGCTGTCTCCTGTAACTGTATTGGAACCTCTAGCATAGATTATCTTGTGATTTTATTTATGTGAGCCTTGTTCCCCCTAGCTTGGGTAACTTTGGAGGCAGGATCCTGTTTAAGACGTCTCTCTCTTCTGCCAGAGCCTAACATACTGCGCTTAATTAATGTTGACTGGATTAAATGAATTGGTTTCTTGGCTCCCAATTTGAACCTGAAATCTGGGAATCAAATGTAGCTTTCTGAAATGGGTCAAGCTACTTGCATTAAAAAAAATGCTGGTGTTGAAATGAAACATTAAAAAATGTCTCAGTGGGGAAATCAAGTACACATTGTTTCAGTAGTTCTAATATGTATTTGGGGCTGAGGTGGGGGTAAAAGCTCTCCAAGTTATTGTGGAGGGATTAATCATCTAAGAACTATTGTTTAAGTAGTTTCTATCCTAGAAATAAAACTCAAATGAGAGAAATGGTCCACTGAGGAGGCATATATAATAATTCGTTGGCTCATTTTTGCTGTTGATGTGTGTTATAGCATTGCAGATATTATTCATGAATGTGCTACAAGAAAAAAAGGAAATGAACAATACTTGTTCAGTTTTCTACATTACACAAATGTGACTTAATAACCATATGCAAAATAGTTTTAAGAAGCATCTTGCGGATGTAAACTAGTCGCCAGTTAATTTCTACTAAAATCACATCTAAAATTTTTATTCTTTATTTTTTCAGCGTTTTACCTCATATTAAAAAGGTAATTTTTTAAAAAACCCTATTCTTAGGAAAGGAACTCAAGACTCACTTATTATAAGATCTTAACGTGTTCCTTCTTAAAGAAGAAATTAACTCATCATGAAGGCTAAAATAAAGCAAATTTAATTATGGAAGGTCAAGGATGGAGGTTAATGAAGGCAGTTTTTGGATAAAAGCTCCTTCCCAGACATTCTCACTTTGGTGACATGAAATTTTTACAAAAGAATTATTCCCAGCAGAGTGAACAGAGAGAACTTTTACCTCCATGGGGTGGGATTATCGCCTGAGGAATCTAGCCTGAAATTTTTAAAATTCATGTAAAATATGCATTCTTCTTTACAATCAATCTTGTTTTAATATAAAAATAAAGTAGTTCCCCTAACTCGCCTCAAATCTTTGTGTAATATTTACATTGAAGCAAGACACCCTGTGTTGATCCTGTGGCTTTACCTCCCTGGCTTGCTGCCATTGCCCGCAGGGGTATGCATACCCCAGTTTGAAAGCTCCATCATATCATGTATATGGATTTGGATAAGAAGAAAGAACCCTCTGCTCCAAGTCAGGGCATGTGCGATTTAGTCTCAGCTCTAACATTAACTACTTGTTGGCCACCTTCAAATCACTTAATGTCTCTGGGCCTCAGTTTCTTCAACAGTAAAAGCTGGAAGTTCAGTTCAAAAAATTTATTATTTAATTCACTCTCCTAGACAGGTAGTGTGTATTGTTTACAGAGTAAAAGATTCTCGTATTGATATAGAATAGGTTTTTAAGAACAAGTTTTCAGTGAAAAATATGTGAGAAAAAAATATGCATGTGATGGCTATCGTTAAAGCTACATAATTTTAAAACTTCTTTCTAATTTTGTCTTGAATAATTCCAGTTATCAATCTAGATATTGTTTTGCTAAGTGACTGAAAAATATGTATTGGGTAAAATGATCATTATCACTCATTTTCTACTGGGTGAAATGAGCATAGAATAAACAATATATCGGCCACAATCAATATACATATTCTTATATCACATGTATAAAAAGATATATCTGGCCAGGCACAGTGGCTCATGCCTATACTCCTAGCACTTTGGGAAGCCAAGGCAGGAGAATCACTTGAGGCCAGGAGTTCAAAGCTGTGGTGAGCTATGATCACACACTTTACTCCAGCTTGGGCAACAGAGTGAGACCCCATCTCTAAAAAAAAAAAAATAAATATTCAAAATTTATAAAATACATGTTTTTATGATAGTCAATGACCAGGTTATCAAAATTTTCATTGTTATAAGTTTAGGTAAAATAACATCCCATTTTAATTGATAGCTACCATTCTTTTTTTTGTTTGTTTACCTAAAATGCAAATAACAATGGAATATTAAGGGGAAAATTCTCCTGGAGTCTCTCCTGTTACTGCACATAAGCAAAGGCACTAACTGCCTTTGGTAAGGACTACATTTTCAAGGATAGTTGTATAGCAAATAGCCTTTTAAGATACAGTGTCTACCTGCAGCTTTGGTAGATACAGTGTCTACCTTCAGACCAAAGAGTAGGTGTTTGTTTGTTTGTTTATTTATTTATTTATTTATTTTTACTGAGCAGTGTAATAAAGATAATGTCTCCTTCACTTATTATAAAGATAATCTCAGGCAACTTACTGCCCGGTATAAAAGGTCTGGCTTCCTTAAGTTCAAATTTCCTCTTCTGTAACACAACCCACTCTATGTGCCCGTATCACCTGGCCCATTTCACATTGCCCTCTGGAAATTGTGGGTAGGAGAACTGGTGGAAATACTAATATTCTATCTATGCTGTTACCATGAGTAATAAGCTATCCTTTGTCTCTAAGCCAGAAGTATCATCTTCTGCCAGCATCTGTGAAACTGTGATAGGCTAACTTTTGCTTCTGTGTATATAGGTGGATTTTCAATGAGATTAAATCATGTAATTCGTTCTTCCTCCTTCATTTTTCTCTTTACCATCTCATCAACCTCCATCTTTTCAAGTAAGTGTACATAGAGTTACAAAATTGAATTGTGGCATTATGTTTCATTGTATCTTACAGTTCATTTACTTATTACTCTATTGATGAACATATATGTTGTCCAGGTTTTTGCTGCAACAAACAATGTTGTAACACATGTCTTTGCATACCTGGATTACTATTCCAGTAGCTGAAATTCCCTCATGAGACTATTGGATCATGTATGATAATGCCCCTTTCTGGATAGGGTATCTTTCTCTATTGGATATCAATTTTGTTGAACTTTGCCAATCTAATGGGAGAAATTTTTAATCTCAGTGTTTTGGTTTATATTTGTTTAGGGAAGTTTACGATCTTTCCAAAATCTTATTGGTCATTTGTATTTTTTTTTCTGTGAAGGGTCTTTTCATATTCATTGCTTAACTTTTAACATCCAAATGCCAATGAATAAAGCCCTGCAAGCTGGATCTATAAAGTGTTTGCCATTTATTTCTTGAAGTCATCCATGGGTAGCTTCAAGTCACCTTGCAGCATCCTACAAAGCTGTCTTCTCTTGCCCTCCTCTTCCCGGCTAATGCCTGCTGCCCTTCAGACTATTGAAATAAACTTCATTTCTCTAAGCCCAAGTTTCCTTTGCTAGTCTCTAGGGTCCATGCCCAGGATGCTATCACCTGATGTTCTAAGTATCAACTTTTTTGTTTTTGAGTTATTAGAGTGGTGGTGTGTTTTGAGCTGATAGGAGAAACACTGTCTTACTCCAAACCCATGTGACACTTTGCCATCAAGGTTCTGAAGAAGCACTGCTCATGTGCAGTTTTTCTTAAGCTCTTTCAGGAAAGCAGCCACTTCCACTTCTTCCATATGCACCTCATCTTTTTCAAAATTTGCACACAATCTTCCAAATACCTACCTGTATAGGAACACAAAGTGGGTCCGATTTGTAAACATTCCTACACTGTCTGGAAAAGCTAGATGCTTCTAGACACAACTTCAGCTTCACTAAAATGATAATAATAATAATAATAACAATTTTCAATTCAAACCAGTACAGCTTCAGTGTGATTTCGTATTTCCTCCCAAGAATAATGGGTCCCCAAGTCTAAGCTCTGTCTGTCCTCATAAACAGCCACCATTTGCTTATCCCTTGTGCCCCCAGGGGAGCACATGCCCATCATTTCAGGGTAGAGTGTGAAAAAGA